TTTGGTATTTTCATGCAAATTCTTCTGCTAGTTGGGGTTTAGTCTACTTCTGTATCCTTCCCTTCAAGGCTCAGCAGTCCAAGATTATCTTCTGTGTTTGTGTCAATTGGTTTCCCTTTTCTTTGTTGAAGAGGGTCTGTGCAGTCCTTCTGCCTAGTCCGCCATCTTGCCGGAACCTGTTTCCTAAATTTTGTGTAGAACTGATATCAAGTCATAAATGTTTTTAGAATTTTCCAGTAAAACCATCTTGGCCTTCTTTGTTGGAAGGTTAACTGTAAACTTGATTTATTCAATGGATCTAGGACAATACAGACCACATTTTTATCCTGAGTGAGGTTTTGCAATTTACATTTTTTAATGAGTTTGTCAATTTTATCTAAGTAGATTTATGTTTATAGATTCTGTAGTGACTTCCCCTCTTTTGTCCTTGATATTATTAATTTGTGTCTTCTCTCTTTTTTTTATCAGTACAATTAGAGGCTTATCAATTTTAAAATCTCAAGGAAGCAGTTCTGGTTTGGGTTTTATTGATATTTCTCTACTATTTTTCTTTTTTCAATTTCACTGATTTCTGTTTTATCTTTTTTATTTACCTCCTTCTGTTTTGGGCTTAATATTTTTCTTCTGTGTCTGGTTTCTTAAGCTGGAAGCTGAACTGATTGATTGATATCAGAGATTTCTTCTTATTGAATATAGGCATTTTCTCCTATTAATTTTCCTTTAAGTACTTCTTTAACTGTGTCCTGCAAATTTTGATATGTGTGTCTCTTATCCCCCTGCTTATGTAAACATTTAAAAAACACTCATTGCACTCAAGTCAAGTCCAACTCTTAGCAATCCTATGTATACCCCAGAGGGTTTCCAAGACTGTAAATCTTTAGTAGGGAAGCAGACTGCCACATCTTTCACAAATCTTGAATTTGTGAATTCAAACTGCCAACCTTTCAGTTAGCAGCCAGCATTTAACCACTGCCTCACCAGAGCTCCTTTTTTGTAACATAACGCAACACAACACAGCACACTACCATCGAGTCCAATTCAACTCATAACATCCCCTCCTTGGGTTTCCCAGGTGGAATCACTACAGAAGTAGATTGTCCAACCTTCCTTCTGAGGAGTGGCTGGTGGGTTAGAACCACGAGCCTTCTGGTTAGCAGTCAAATGCCTTAGGCACTATGCCACCAGAGCTCCTTTTGTAACATAGTTACTTTAAATATCCATCTGATAACTTGAATATTAATTTCTTTGGCTATGCTTCCATTTTCTATTATTATACTGGTTCTCATTCGTCTCCTTGTGTACCTGGTTATTCTTACTGTGGGCTGGATATTGTACTTTAAAATTTGTAATAGAAGTAGCTTTAAGCCTGGAATGATTTTAGTTTTCAAATATATATATATATGCATTCACAAAGCTTCTGGAGGCACTAATAATCCAGGATCATCTTAATCCAATTATAGGATTGTATTATTCCAAAACAGGCTGCAATCTTCGGGAGCTCTAGTGGCATAGTGCCTAAGGCATTTGGCTGCTAACCAGAAGGCTGGAAGTTCAAACCCACCAGCTACTCCTCGGAAGATAGATCGAGCAATCTTCTTCCATAGTGATATCACCTTGGAAACCCAAGGAAGGGTTGCTATGAGTTGGATCCGAACTGGGCTGCAATTTTTAGCATGGCTAAACTACTTCCAGTTCCCTTAACTTTAGGGTTGTAGTCCTTTGGGTTCCAACACAAAGCACAGCTCATTTGTCCTGTTTGGCACTGAATTTTCTCAGCCTGGCAGTGTGTTCTTCTGTCTGTTAGACCGTTGACTGTCTTCCTTTGAATTAGGAAATGCCTCAATTAAACAAACAAACAAAAAACAGCAACAACAACAACAAAAAAAATCGTTGCTGTCTAGTTGATTCTGACTCAAAGCGACCCTATAGGACTAAGTAATACTTCCCCATATCATTTCAAAGGCTATAAATCTTCACATGAGCAGACATTCACATCTTTCTCCTGCAAAGCAGCTGGTAAATTCAAACTGCCAACCTTTGGCTAGCAGCTGACCTCTTCAAACATTGCCATGGGAGGGTTCCCTATGTCTCAGTCACCAGGCTCAAAACACTGGGATCACCTCTTTAGATTTCTACCTTCTTCCACACTTTAGCCCAATAATTCTTTACAGTATTACGTTGTTAGTTCTTCAAGCAGATTTTTAATTTTGGTTTTATCCTGTTCTGCTTTTTTTCATTGTATTCAAAGAAAAGTTTAGCCTGCGTTATTTAGCCAATCATTATCCTCCATCCTCCAGCAAAAAGTTTTCAGTGCGTTCATGCTTTTTACTTTCCAGGACATTCCTGCTTGGCTTTGCATACAAGCCTCCTGTTTGGCAGGAGGCAGCAATCATTGACCACATTCTGGAGGAGGAGAGCTTGGGGGCCAGGGTGGGACAGGGTGCAGGAAGTACAGCAAGAACAATTCACAAAATAATTTGTCAAGAAATTACGCTGCCAACATTTTTAATCTCCCTGTTGCTTTAAACAGGTGGTTTAAAATCTCCCTTTTGTTTAAAACAAGTGGTGCTGAGGTTAAAGCATTGGGCTGCTAACCAAAAGGTCAGTGGTTCGAACCCACCAGCTGCTACACAGGAGAAAGATGAGG